TTCTTTTGACCCTCTCCCTCCTCAGAAGTATTTGCTTCTGATTACTCCCTTTCCCAATCTGCCCTCTTCTCTATCATTCCCCTACTCTCTTGTCCCCTCCCCCCCCCCCCATTTTCCTGTAGGGTAAAACAGATTTCCACACCCAATTGAGTGGGTATGTTATTCCCTCCTTAAGTCAAATCCTATGAGAATAAGATTCACTCATTCCCTCTCACCTTCCCCTGTTTCCCCTCCACTGTAAGAGCCTTTTCTGTTTTGTTTTGTTTTTTGTGGGATAATTTACCCTGTTCTACCTCTCCCTTTCTCCTTCTCCTAATATATTCCTCTCTCACCCCATAATTTTATTCTTCACATATGACCCCTTCATTTTCAACTCACCCTGTGCCTTCTATCTATCTATCTATCTATATCTATATATACATACATATAATTTTTCCCCCTCCAACTACCCTAATACTGACAAAGGTCTCATGAGTTACAAATATCATCTTTCCATGTAGGAATGTAAACAGTTCAACCTTAATAAGTCTCTTATGATTTTCTCTTTCCTGTTTACCTCTTCATGTTCCACTCGAGTCTTGTATTTGAAAATCAAATTTTCTATTCAACTCTGGTCTCTTCATCAAGAATGCTTGAAAGTCCTCCATTTCACTGAATGACCATTTTTTCCCCTGTAGGATTATACTCAGTTTTGCTGGGTAGGTGATTCTTGGTTGTAATCCTATCACCTTTGCTATCTGGAATATTATATTCCATGCCCTGAGGTCCCTTAATGTAAAAGCAGCTAAATCTTGTGTTATCCTGATGGTGTTTCCACAATACTTGAATTGTTTCTTTCTGGCTGCTTGTAATATTTTTTCCTTGACCTGGGAACTCTGGAATTTGGCTACAATATTCCTAGGAGTTTTCCTTTGGGGATCTCTTTCAGAAGGAGATTGGTGGATTCTTTCAATTTCTATTTTGCCCTCTGGTTCTAAAATATCAGGACAGTTTTCCTGGATAATTTCTTGAAAGATGATATCTAGGCTCTTTTTTTGATCATGGCTTTCAGATAGCCCAATAATTTTTAAATTCTCTCTCCTGGATCCATTTTCCAGGTCAGTTGTTTTTCCAATGAGATATTTCACATTGTTTTCTAATTTTTCATTCTTTTGGATTTGTTTTACAGTGTCTTGATTTTTCATAAAGTCACTAGCTTCCAATTGCTCTGTTCTAATTTTTAAGGAAGTATTTTCTTCAGTAATCTTTTGGACTTCCTTTTCCATTTGACCAATTTTGCTTTTTAGGGCATTCTTCTCCTCATTGGCTTTTTGGACCTCTTTTGCCATTTGGGTTAAGCTATTTTTTAAGGTGTTATTTTCTTCAGTATTTTTTGGGGTCTCCTTTAGCAACCTGTTGACTTGTTTTTCATGATTTTCTTGCATCACTCTCAATTTTTCCTCTACTTCTCTTACTTGCTTCTCAAAATCCCTTTTGAGCTCTTCCAAGGCCTGGGACTGATTCATTTTTTTCTTGGAGCCTTTGGATGTAGGAGCTTTGGCTTCATTTTCTTCTGGTTGTATGTTTTGATCTTCTTTGTCACCAAAGTAAGATAATATAGTCTGACTCTTTTTGCGCTGCTTACTCATGATCCTGGCCAATTACTTGAGTTTTAAACTCTTTGTTAAGGTAAAGTCTGCTTCCAGTGTAAAGAGTATACTGTCCCAAGCTTTGGGGGTTTGTACAGCTGTTTTCAGAGATACTTTTAGGGACCTGTAAATTTTCAGTTCTTCCAAGGTGGTATGATAAGGGGCAAGGTGTTTCCTTTCCACCACCACAACAAGCTCCACCACACCAGCACTCCTCCTAGCCCCAGGACTGCCCCACAGAACTGTGACCCAGATCCAAGCATGGGCAAAGCAAGAGATTCCTGCTTCAGCACTGGCAAAGAGATCCTTGCAATCCCCCCTCTGATCAGCCACTCGATTCCCCCTCAGTCTGTGGGCCAGAAGCTCAGGAAAAAGCCGTGGCCCTGGGCCGCGCTTGAGACTTGCAGCTGAGACCTAGCTCCTCTCTCACCACAGTTACAGACTTTTCCCACTGACCTTCCAAGTTGTCTTTGGCGTTCAGGGGTTGAGAAGTCTGGAAACCACCACAGCTGCCGGCGATTCAGTCCTCTGAGGCCTGCTCCAGGGTCTCTGAGGCCTGCTCCAGGGTCGCTGTGCCAAACTGCGCTCCTCTCCCCGCCCAGCGTGATATACCTTCCCGATCAACCATCCAGGCTGTCTTTGGCTGGAAATTTGTTTCACTCTGTCTTTTTGTGGGTTCTGCTGCTTTAGAATTTGTTTAGAGCCATTTTTTTTAGGTATTTGGAGGGCTTTGGGAGAGAGTTCAAGACAGTCACTGTTTTCCTTCTGCCATCTTGGCTCTGCCCCCCTTTTTTCCTTTTTTTAAAAAAAATTCTTTGTTATTTACTAAACTGTGCATATTCCATGATACCACTACTAGGCCTAAACCAAAAGATCAAAGAAAAAGGGACAGGACCCATATGAACAAGAATACTTCTAGCAGCATCTCTGTGGTGGCAAAGAGCTGGACTGAAGGGATGCTCATCAGCTGGTGAATGGCTAAACAGATTGTGGTATATGAATGCAAAATAACACTATTGTGCTGTAAGAAACAATAAAAAGAACAGTTTCAAAGAAGCCTAGGAAGACTTGTATGAACTAAGTGCAGAATGAAGTAAACAGAACCATGTGAACAAATTATACAATAACAACATGGTAAAGACAAATGACTTTGAAAGACTTAAGAATTCTGATCACTGCAATCACCAACCTCAATTCCAGAGGACAGATAATGAAGCATACTACCCACCTCCTGACAAGAGAGGTGATTGACTCAGATGCA